ATATTACTGAGCATTAAAAGAGAATAAAATTATGGAATTGGGAAGTAAATGCATGGAGTTAGAGAATATCATGTTAAAGCAAGTAATCCAATCCTCGTAAACCAAAGACAATAATGTTTTCTCTGCTAAGTGGATGGTGATCCACAATGAGGGAAGTGGGAGGTAGCATGGAAGAAATGAAGAAACTTTGAATAAGACAAAGGGGAGGGAGGTGATGGGAGATGTTATAGAGGTAGGTAAGATGGTGGAATGAGATGAAAATCTTGTTGTACACAAAGTAGAGTTACATGGGTTTTGTAACTATACATTCTGAACAACAAGAGAAATAAAATCTTGTGTTCCATTTGTGTGCTACAAAGTGAAATGCATTCTGCTCTATTAGCAAGTTAGAACAAATTAATAAATTAATTGATTTTTGAAAATTCAGGAAAGAGACTTGCCTTTCCCTAGATTTATATATATATATATAATGTATATAATTTATGAACATTTTTTTTCATATTTCTATCAATTTTTTTAAAGAAATGACAGCAGAAGCATTACAATTCTTATTTCATGTATAGAACACAATTTTTCATATTTCTCGTTGTATATAAAGTATGGCGATACAAATTTGTGTATTTGTGCATGTACTTTTGATGATGGTCTCTATCACATTCCACCATTCTTGATAATCCCCTGCCCCCTTTGTTTTCCTCCCACCCCTCTTCTTTATTGAGAATCCATGGATTTCTCTCATGCTCCCCCTCCCTACCCCATTATGAGTCAGCCTCCTTATATTTGGCATTTTTTGTTTTATTGGAATTGGATAACATCACTTAGCATTATCTTCTCCAATGCTATCCATTTACCTTCAAATGGCAGATATGATTATATACCTAGAAGACTCAAAAAACTCCACCAGAAAACTTCTAGAACTAGTAAATAAATTTAGCAAAGTAGCAAGATATAAAATCAACACCCATAAAGCAAAGGCATTTCTGTATATCAGTGAAAACTCTACTGAGAAAGAAATGAAGAAAACTACCACATTTACAATAACTTCAAAAAAAAAGATATTTTGGAATCAACTCAATGAAAGACGTGAAAGGTCTATACAAGGAAAACTACAGAAACCTAAAGAACAGAATCAAAAARCACCTTAGAAGATGGCTTTCCATCTACTTTCCATCTACTTTGCTCATCAACTATCAAAACTATAATTATTATATATTAGACAAAGGTGTCAAAACATGCACTGGAGAAAAGATAGCCTCTTCAACAAAACACTATCTCTCACCATGCACAAAACTCAACTCCAAGTGTATCAAGATCTTGGAATTAAACCAGATACTCTGTGTCCAATGGAATAAAATACAGGCTCTAATCTTCATCATGTGGGATTAGGCCCCAATTTCTTTAATAAGACACTGAAAGCACAAGAATTAAAACAAATAATCAATAAATGGGATAGAATCAAACTAAAAAGTTTATTCTCAGCAAAAGAAACAATCTGTAAGGTGAAGACAGAGCCTACATTTTAGGAGGAATATTTTACCCCGCACATATCAGATAGAGCACCGATCTCTAAGGTACATAAAGAACTCAAAAAAAAAACTAAACTAATGATGATGATGATGATGATGATGATGATAATAATAATAATAATAATAATAATAACCCAATCAAGAAATGGGCCAAGGATCTGAACAGAGAGTTCTTAGAAGAGAATATACAATCAATTAACTTTATATATATATATATATATCTGATTGGTTATGGTCCTCCCTTTTCAGGACCAAGAACAGTTCTGGTTCAGTTTCTAAGGAGGGGAAACACGAGCAAGAATCATTCTCAACTCTCCTTTATAAATTATCAAATAAAGGCCAGAACTGAGTGGAGACTTTAAGAAGCCAGCCCTGCCGGCGACCCCAGCAGTGCGGAGTAAGGCTCCGCAAACCCTGAGGAGGTGAAGAAGGAATGGCCCACGGAGCCGCGGGACTCTGACTCTACGGAGCCCGACGTTCCGCCTAGGCGGGACAGCGGAGAGACTAGGAGTGGAGAGACTAGGAGTGTCCAGGAAGAGCAGCTGCGTCCCCCCACCGCGGTTTCCTACCCTGGTGGCCCGGCTCGAGCTCTGCGGTACAGAGAGCCGCCGTGGGGCAGCCCAGCCATGGCCCCCTATAGCCTAGAGACCCTGAAGGGCGGCACCATCCTGGGCACCCGTAGCTTAAAAGGGACAAGTTGCTACCTTTTGGGGAGGCTGTCTAGCTGCGACATGTGCCTGGAGCACCCTTCGGTGTCTCGGTACCACGCGGTGCTCCAACACAGGGCGTCCGACCCGGACGGAGAATGCGACGGCCAAGAGCAGGGCTTCTACCTCTACGACCTGGGAAGTACCCATGGCACGTTCCTCAACAAAACTCGAATCCCTCCCCGCACCTATTGTCGAGTCCATGTCGGGCACGTTTTCCGCTTTGGTGGTAGCACCCGGCTCTTTATCCTGCAGGGACCAGAAGAAGACCGAGAGGCAGAATACGAGTTAACAGTAACACAGTTGAAGGAACTGCGCAAGCAGCAACAGATGTTGTTGGAGAAGAAGATGCTAGGAGAAGATTCAGATGAAGAAGAGGAAATGGATAACACTGAAAGGAAGAGGAATACTAGTAACCAAGATGATGATATGGGTTGTACCTGGGGAATGGGAGAAGATGCTGTAGAGGATGATGCAGAAGAGAATCCCATTGTCTTAGAGTTTCAGCAGGAAAGGGAAGCCTTTTATATAAAGGACCCAAAAAAGGCTCTCCAAGGTTTCTTTGACCGAGAAGGAGAAGAACTAGAATATGAATTTTATGAACAGGGACATAGCACTTGGCTCTGCAGGGTGAGATTACCTGTGGATGATTCAACTGGGAAACAGCTGGTGGCTGAGGCCATTCACTCAGGAAAGAAAAAAGAAGCAATGATTCAGTGCTCACTGGAAGCTTGCCGGATCCTTGATACTTTGGGATTGCTGCGGCAGGAAGCAGTATCTCGGAAAAGGAAAGCCAAGAACTGGGAAGATGAATATTTTTATGATAGTGATGATGACACATTCCTTGATCGCACTGGCCTTGTGGAGAAGAAGCATCTTAACCGAATGAAGAAGGCTGGGAAGATTGATGAGAAGCCAGAGACCTTTGAATCACTGGTTGCAAAGTTAAATGATGCTGAAAGGGAACTCTCTGAAATTTCTGAGAGTCTCAAGTCCTCAAGCAAAGCTCTGTCAGAGTCCCCACCTCAGGATTCTTTAGATGCATTCATGTCAGAAATGAAATCAGGGAGTGCATTAGATGGTGTGTCCAGGAAGAAACTTCATCTCAGAACTTTCGAACTGAGGAAAGAACAACAGAGGCTTAAAGGGTTAATAAAAATTGTAAAGCCAGCAGAGATTCCAGAACTAAAAAAGACTGAAAGTCAGACTACAGATACAGAAAATAAAGCTAAGAAACTTACACTGCCTCTCTTTGGTGCTATGAAAGGAGGAAGCAAATTCAAGTTAAAAACTGGAACAGTAGGGAAATTTCCCCCCAAGCGTCCAGAACTCCCTCCGGCTCTAATGAGAATGAAGGACGAGCCTGAAGTAGAAGAGGAGGAGGAAGAAGAAGATGAAGAAGAAGAGAAAGAAAAGGGGGAGCACGAAGAGAAAATGGAGGATGGAAACAGCAGGTTGCCACAGGAGATAGAGCCAGAAACTTCAGTGCAGGAAATGAGTTCTCCCACAGATCTCACATGTTCTAAGGAAACAAAAAACCATGAAAACATGTCTCAAATCAGCCACATGGAACAGAAGAAAAATTATCAAGAGATTAATGAAACATCTTCATCCTGCAAAGAACCATCAGCACCAAAGAATGAATATGAGAAAAGCAGAGATGAATTGAAGAAAAAGAAAGCTCCTGGTCCAGGCAAATTTCCCCCCACACTTTCTTCTAAATATCCCGAAGATGACCCAGACTACTGTGTGTGGGTTCCACCTGAAGGCCAAAGTGGAGATGGCAGAACTCATCTTAATGACAAGTATGGCTATTGATTACATCAGAGTCCCAGAGGAAGATCTTGTGGACTATGTGACATAGAGTATTTGGAATAATATGTGAAGTTGAATGGCCAGAGAAGTTCAGATGATCTTATGTAAAATCTGGTGACTGACTTTTTCTTCCATGCTCTTGGCTTCTTGAATTTATCTTGTTATCCAGTTCTCCTGATTTGGGAATTTATGTTTAAAAGTATTTATGTTTGTATGTGTGTGTGTGTGTGTGTGTGTGTGTGTGTGTGTGTATGAAGGGAACCATATATTTTGAGAAATAGTAAAGTGAGAAACAGGGACGCTATTATAAAATGAAAAGTCAAAGTGCCCCTAATACTGATTTAAGATGATAGCCTGTTTGATTTAAGATTTAGGGACTGTGGGTTAGAGTTGTAGCTTGTCTAGCATGCTTGAGGCCTTGGGTTCCATCCCCAGAAACACAATTTTAAAAAAAGATGGAGAATTGTGCTTTCCTAAGCATTAGGCTATGTCTGGCAGTTAGGGTGTAGAATTCACTAATATTGCTTCCTCAGATGTGAAATATGAATATTTCGTGGATCTGACTCTGGATGTCCTTGTCATTCTTAGAACTAAATTTAGATTGACAGTGAAAGTTTCCTACTGCCTCCAACCCTAATCCTCCCTCTACATTTGAGAATAGACCCTGACTTATCAGGACAAGGTTAACCATAGATAGCACCATCTCATATACTCGGGCCCCAGTCTGATAAAAACTCATCCCATTGAATATCTTGGCTCTGACTAATCAATTAGTCATCCTCCTCTTACAGAAGGGTGCAAATATTGTTATGGAATGAAAAGTTGAATGTGTTCCGCCCAATGTGTGTTTTCTCACCTCTGTGTTTTCCTCTTGGGAACAAAGAAATGTAAAAAGATGTCTTACTCCACCCGTTTTCCCCATAATTAATGCCTCACTTTACTTCCATAGATAGAAAGCGGGAAAGTAAAGGGATGCAGCAAGGTAGAGAGCATTTGAGTTAGGCTTAAGGCAGACATTGGGGAGAAATGCTGTGGCCCAGCCAGAGAGTGAATGAGACTGGTTGCTTTTTTATTATGCATTACGCAGTATATACAACAGTAGGCAGGAAGAAGTAATGAGCCATTCCAGTTACCATGACAGATGGGGGAAGTTCTTGTCTACTAAAAGTAAGTCCTTCATCTTTCAAAAGAGAGTGTTGGTACTCTGAGAAACGTACTTTGGACTTCATTCAGACCAATAGGGAGAACTGATTGATGATATAAGAAGTGTCAGGAATTTGGGGGCAGTGTTCATGACATTTGGATTAAAACAATGGACAGAGGTCTGAGCCACATCAGTGGTCTTTGCATATGAAATTCTATTCAAACACAGTTGTATGTGTGAGCCTAATATTTGAATGGTAAAAATATATCTGCTCTGGGTGAAGTGAAGGTGCAGGGATTGGAGCTACTACACACACACATCCTCTCCTCCAGTGACCCTAAGGAATCCCAGGAGCTATAGGAGGATAGACAGCTTTAGGAGGACAGATTTCTAAGGTTCTGGGAACAGTAGGTATGCTTTCGTGTCTACAGACACTGAAAGCAAGTGGGATTCCACATGCCAAAATAAAATCTAAATATGTAATTTGTGGGCAGTGGACTTGATTTAAATGACCTACACATGTTTCTTAGCTGCCTTTTACTAAATAGAGCCTGGGAATAGGACTAAATTCTCTGAGTCTCAATTTTGTTATCTCAAGCAAGTCTAGCAAAGCTTCCTGCTCCTAGAACCTCAAATGTACTTAAGGATTGGATGAGATGATGGAGGTGGATTTAGTACAGGACTTTATAGATGTTAGTAGTTGTTATTTTAAAAAGGGGACACAAGCCAGGCATGATGATGCACACCTGTGTAATCTCAGCAACTGAGGAGAAATTTAAGTTTTTAGTTACAGTACTTGGATCTTAACTGCAGACCAATTGAAGCAGAATCCCTGAGGTGACCCCTTCTACAAGGGGTCTCTGATGTACAACCCAGGGTGACAAACCTCAAGAGTACTTTTTTCCTTCAGCCAATTTTTTTCTATAAGGGCCAGGTATTTTAGGCTTCGTAAGCTGTATGATTTGTTGCATGCAACTACTCAGCTCTGCTTTTGTAGTACACTTGTAAATAGCATTAACAATATATGAGTGAGTGTGACTTCTTTCTAATGTGTTTATTTATAAAAACAAATAGCAGGCTGGTTGGCAGACCCCTGGTCTAGACTGATTCATCTTCAAGGTCTTATTTGGTTCAAAATGTTCCCTTATACCTTTTTTTAAAAAAGCGTGTCCCAGTTCATGCATATTTGGAAGATTTGTATTCAGAATACCAATTATCTCCTCCTGAATATATGGGTTGCAGCTTATGGTTACCAGAAGTTAAAGTAAACCAGTCTCTCTGCCACGCGACCAGCGCGAGCTTCATGAAAGAAGGTTCGGTTCATAAGAAATTGCTAGTGAGTTTTAAATTAAAGAGACAGACTCTCATTACCTTTAACACAGCTCCAAGATGGCTTCTCCTAGCTCCCGCCTCTAGCCACCTAATGCGGTGGTGAGGTTTACAGAAGAGACTAGTGAGAGAGGGAGAGCATGCCAGGGAGTGAGATTTTATTGGAGAACAAAAATTCCAGGGAAAATCCCATCCAATGAAGGTTAAGGGGGGCAGCATCCCAAGGTCAGGGGTGGCGATTGGGTCTTCAGGTCAGTGGCCAGGCACGTCACTGCACAGACAAGCCCTCGGACCTGGGAAAGGGTGGGGAAGGCTTTTAACACCGCTGTGTTTAAGCGCCTCTCACTCTCCCTCTTGCCAGGGAGGTAACTCAGATCACGTGCAAAGATCGCCTCCCACAAGGCTCCTTTTCTCAGAAATAAAAGTAATGTTATTTAGTCATTAGAAAAAAAATACTTGGTCGCAGCAGGAACACAATAGTTAACTGCAACCAGGGTGTCCCTAGTCAGCTGTCCTGGACAGGAATTCTGAACCTTGAATTCTCCACACTCAACCTATAGTGTGGAGAAAGAGTGAAAAAAGGTGAGAAGACTCGGGGACCAATTAGGAGCCAGTGGCAGCAGTCCAGCTGAGAGATTATGATGGCTTGAATTCAGTGGAGATCGAGAAGGAAAGAGACACATGGATCTTAGCAATATTTGTAAAAGTAGAATGACTTAAGTTGAGTGGTGGGGGGGGTTGTGTAGGGTAAACGAAAGGAATCCAGGAAGATTCCTAGGCTGCTAATTTCCACATCTGAGTGGATGATGGGTCATTCATTGAGGGGGGAAATAAGAAGGGCTGGTGTAAAAGTGGAGGGGTCATGAATTCAACACTTTGAGGCACCTAAATAAAATGTTCACCAGGCAGTTGAATACATAGACCTGGATCTCAGAAGAGAGGGCCTAGGAGCAGTTATGGCTGTCCAACAAATGAACCTCAGCATTGGGATGGGGGGATCCAGTAGGATTCATTAGAATCTAGGTGACCGACAGGAATTATGCAGAGAAACCACTGTCTTGGGCAGCTGATCTTCCTATCTTGGTGCAGGGAACAAATTTTTTTCCTGGTTATAGGTACTCATTTGTTGTAAGAAAAAGATAAAGTGTGGTACCATGTGAACAGTGGAGAAAAAAATGTCAATGCATGTATTTAACATCAAAATAAGTCTCTTGATTCACTATAGGAATTAGGGGCCTAAAACTTACCTAAAAGGTCAAAACTTTTCTTAATTGTTTTTTTATTTAAAATTTCCAAAAGTAGCTAAGATTTATTTAATGTCCCCAGTGTGTCAACACTATGCTAACTTCCTGTATGATTCATTTAATCTTAGATCACTGAAGTAGTTCTATAGTTGAGGAAACTGAGGCCCTGAGAGTTAAGACTTGTCTAAGGCCACTCAGTAGTCTGTGAATTAGACTGAAGCCCAAACAGTCTAATATCTAAGTCCGGCTCTTAACCCTCCAGTACATTGCTTTAACATTTTTAATATACTGTATTTTAATTTTTTTTTATTTTTTTAAATATTTATTTCTTAGTTTTAGGTGGACACAGTGCCTTTATTTTATTTTTACGTGGTGCTGAGAATCGAACCCAGTGCTTCACACATGCTAGGCAAGCGTGCTATCACTTGAGCCACATCCCCAGCCCAATATACTGTATTTTTTACAGAAGTATTAGATTAACAGCAAAGGTGAACAGAAAGTACAGACTATTTCCATCCATGCCCTGTGCCCCACACATATAGTTGTCCCAGTCCCCACCAGAGCCTGCATTTGTCACACTCAAACCTACACTGATATGTTATCACCGAAACTCCATAGTTTACTTTAGGGTTCTCTCTTGGTGATGCACATTCTGTGAATTTTGATAAATGTAAATGACATGTACCCACTATTACAGTACCAAACAAAATAGTTTCACTGCCCTAAAAGTCCTGCATGATCCACCTGTTCATTTTTCCCTCCCCACCAATCCCTGGCAACCACTGATCTTTTTACTGTCTCCATAGTTTTGCCTTTTCTAAAATGTCATATTTGGGTATTACCTTAATTTTTAAAAATTCCCTAAATAATTAAACAGGCCTCACAGAAAAAAAAATATCAAATAAATTATCTATGTCATTTTCTAAACATAGCTGGACATGGGAAATATAGGTTTGGAGCAGAGAACATTTTTATTAGAAACACAGTGTAAAAGAAAGAAAAAAAAAACATAGTTATTTGTACCACATTGTACCACAAGAGAAACGAAACGTGGAATTCAGAAAAGAAAGATTCAAACTTTTATAATTGGGAATGTGGATGACATGGATGCCTAAAGTGAAAAGGTTATTACAAGCTTTTGAAAGAAAATTCATGTGAGTGGCACAGTGTATTCCAGGGGCTTTGTCAGCTGTGCACTACAGAACATACAGGTATTCATAGCCTCATGAAGAACATTATTCATCTGTTCCCTCTAAAATTATTCCCATAGTACAGATGAAAAAACATGGGTATCTGGATATTAAATGGCAATTCAG